TTTCTTGAATTAATTATCAACACTCATGGAAGCAGCAATCAAGAAATCAAATGACATATTGCATTAGGCAAATCTGCCGCACAAGACCTTTTTAAAGTACTGAAGAGCAAAAGATGTCAGCTTGAGGACTAAGGTGCACCTGACCCAAGCCATGGTATTTTCAATAACCTCACATGCATGCAAAAGTTGGACAGTGAATAAGGAAGACAGCCAGAATGCTCCTTGGAGACTAGGCTGGTCAGATTTTGTCTCTCATCCTTCAGACATATTGTCAGGAGGGACCAGTCACTGGAGAAGGATATCATGTTTGGTAAGGTGGAGGGTCAGAAAAAAAGAGCAAGACCCCCAGCGAGACGGATTGGCAAAGTGGCAGCATCAGTGGGCTCAAGTGTGGCAACAATTGTGAGGTTGGCCCAGGACTGGGCAGTGTTTCATTCTGTTGGGCATAGGGGCGCTATGAATTGGTAATAACTCGATGGCACCTAACAACAACAAAAACAGCACATGAAAAAACAAGTTTCACGTAACTATTTCAGTAACCAGAGTTACTAATCAGATCAAAGGTCTCACTGTCAACACGGTTTTTGAGAGATTTGTTGTTTTTGCTTTCTACCTTCCTTTTCTGCTTGAGGGGCATGCTATTTGCTGTCAGGTTAAGTTTTATAGGCCTGACATCTAGTGGCCAGTGTGTGAAAATAAATTCTCTTTTTCTTAGGCACACTGGTTAAGGTTTCTATGTACTTAAAACATGTTTTCAAATCAAGAAAAATATTTAAATTAAAATTTGTATGTCAATATTTGCCTACTATGAAACAACAACAAAAATTATGTATCATAATTTTGTTAAATCTAACATCATCAAGGCCAATAGTTTTATTGTTTTTGTTGTTAAGTGCTGTTGAGTTGGTTCTGACCCATAGCGACCTGTGTAGTGTTTCCGAGAGCAGCTGGTAAGCCTGAACAGCCAACCTTGTAAGTTTAAAAGGCTTTGCAGTCTGACACATTGACCCTTTTATTAATTATATTTAGAGATTTTTACCTAAAGTTTCCTTTAATTAACTTCTTCTAGGTATGACTTTATCTACCTTTTTAGTTAATCCTCATCAAGTCTTTCACCTTAAGAATTATTCCATTTTATTGATTCACTAAAATATGCATGTCATTCTTAGACCTGCATGTCATGCTGTGGACCTGGTTCTGACTCAGTGATCCTATGCACAACAGAATAAAACACTACCTGGTTCTGGCACCATCCTCACAATTGTTTACACTTGAGGCCACAGCTGCTGCCATTATATCAATCCATCTCATTGGGGGGGGGGGTGTCTTTTTTGCTGATCCTCTATTTTACCAGCATGATGTCTTTCTCCAAGGACCAGTAATATGTCCAAAGTATGAGATAACATGTCCAAATTATCCCTCCTGATAACAGGTCCAAAGTATGAGAGATGAAGTCTCGCCAACCTGGCTTCTAAGAAGCATTTTGGAGGTGCTTCTTCTAAGATTTGCTTGTTCTTCTGGTAGTCCATAGTACTTTTAATATTTTTCTACAATACCTTAAACTTGTATGTATCAAATTCTTCTATGGTCTTCCTTATTCACTGTCCCAATTTTCACATTCATATGATGTTATTGAAGATATCATGGCTCGAGTCATGTGCACCTTAGTTGTCAAACTGACAATCTTTGCTCTTGAACACTTTACAGAGGTGTAGTGCAGATCTGCCTAATGCAGTGTTTGATTTCTTGACTACTGTTTCCATGAATGTTGACAGTTGATCTAAGAAAACCGAGAGTTTAGACATCGTTTCTCCATTTATCATGATTTATTCATTGGTCTGTTTTCTTTTACATTGAGGTACAACCCATAGTGAAAGTTGCAGTCTTTGATCTTCATCAGTAAGTATTTTAAGTCCTCTTCGCCTTCTGCAAGCCAAGTTGTATCATCTGCCTATTGGAGCTTGTTAGTGAGTCTTCCTCCAATCCTGGTGCCATGTTCTTCTTCATATGGGTATTCCGGAACATATACTTGTGCTAATAAATCCAGTTTTATTAGATGATTTGAATAAATATGATCAAAGAAAGCAACACTGACACATCTAATTTTAAACCATTCACCGGCCCCTTCTTCTGTTCAAACAACTGCCTCATGGTCCAAGTATAGGTTCTTCTCATGAGAACAAACATTTTCCAAGACAGCACATAATAACTCAACAATTCTTAATGAGTTGCCTGTATTTGATATGATTTCTGTTGCGGCGCTACACTGGACTGCAAACCACAAGGTTGGCATTTCAAACCCACTATCTGCTCCTCAGAAACCCTGTACAGGGTTGCTTTGAGACTGAACCAAATCGACAGCACTTAACATTTGATTACACGCCTTGTTGTTGTTGTTGGGTACCATTGAGTTGGTACCAACTCATAGCAACCCTATGCACAACAGAACAAAACACTGCCCAGTCTTGGGCCAACCTCACAGTTGCACCCCTTAGCTTATTTAAATCCAGCAATGTTGTTACTTCTCACTAATAACGACCACCCACCCCATGATGACTTAAATATTATTAAACACCTTTTATCTTTTGTTGCTCTTAACTGTGAAGTCTATTCTGATTCATAGAGATCCTGTATAGGATTTCTGAGACGTTAGTATGTCTTTGAGGGAACAGAAAGCCTCAACTTTCTTCCATGGAGCAACTGGCAGGCTTGATCCACAGACCTTATAGCTCACAGTCCAGTGCTTACTGTATGAAAATTAATGTTTAAAATCCCACTACCAAATCCTAGTTTGGTCCTATTTGCTAGTAGATCATAATTTAGTAGGGGAGGGGAATCCCTGGCCCATGGGTTGTATTAGGCCAGTGAAATCATTATAGTCTGGCCCTGCCAAGGTAGCTGTTCTAGCTATCATATAAGGCGTGAGTTAAAATGTTTGACCAGATACAGGTTATTTTTTTAGTTGTTAATTTTTTATGGTCCACAAATGTTATAAAATTTTGGCAAAAAAAAGGTTCCCCACTCCTGATATAAAGTCCAGTTCTACTAGCTCTCATTATCAACAACAACAACAACAAATAACCATGACCACCTCCACTGAAATCCTAAAAAGTGGTGCACTTCCTAAAGTCACTTTAGCTCAACTACAGGTCAATCGATGTTTTTACAGACTTTGAAGTCATTCATTAAGTTGTATGTTATCAAATTAAAAAAGCATTCTTGATCTCTTTCAAAACGCAAATGAAAAATAACCCCTTAAGAAACCTGTCGAAAGCTCTTTTGCTCTCCTCTGAGACCACTGCCACATTCGTCTCTTTTTTGCTGACATTTTATAAGATCTATAATTAAGGTAAAAATGTGACTCGTTTCTTAAGTAAAAGGCCAACATGCAGGAAGTGACCTCAGTTGTTCTCCAGATGTTAACTAATAGAGTAGCTAATGTTCAAAAATGTTTTGTTCAAACATAGTTCAGAAAATTAGAAATTACCGTTAAGTTGAAGAATAATGTTAATTTAGAGATTCATGCAAAGAAAAGGTTGTGGGTGTGTGCTTCAACAATCCTCCTTGTAACTGATTCCCCTCTGCCAGCCCTAAGTGTTTATTTGTTCCACTACATAAAGCTTAGTGGTTACGAATCGGGCTGTGAACCGCATGGTCAACAGTTCAAAACTACCAGCTGTTTCGTGGGAGAAAGATGAGGCTTTCTGCTCCCACAAAGATTTGCAGCCTCATAAATCCTGTACAGGGTCACTCTGAGTCGGAACCTACTCCATAGCACATAACCACCACCACTCTCGCTGAAACTGTTAACATTGCAGTATCCTGCCTGGATTATTTTGTGTCTGTTTTGTGGTATTTACCCTCTAGTAAAATGGTTTTTATGTCTAGAAGAGTGTACATCTGATTTTTTATGGCAGCAGGATGAAACTGAAAAAAACAAACAACCTTTTAGATGTTCTATCATTGGTTCTTAAAAAAAAAGATACTAGCATGTAAACAGCTTGTGACCATGGGTGAGATCACCTCTGCAAGATACATGACATCCAAATTCACTTGTACTTTACAAACCAATCACAGCAAAAGCCCTGTTTCCTGGTAGCCCATGCTACCTTATCTTACCAAGCAACCAATCAAAATATCCCATCATAAAATTCCTGGCTTTACCATATACATTTGGCTATAACTCCAGCACAGTCGAGACTTCACTTTACCTGTGTGAGCGTCAGGGTATCCCTGACACAAACTACCTTTTCTCTCAATGAGTCTCTTGATTATTTGAAATTGAGTATGCATCAGAATTCTACCACAGCACAAAGGATAGCGGAATGAAGAGATGGTGAAAGAACCCTCAAGATATGAGACCCTAAATCTATTCCTTGACCGAAAAATCATGTAAGTCAATGGATTCCCTTTGTGGGCTTGTTTTTTGTGTGCTGTGGAGTCAATTTCTACTCATAGCCACTTCATGTGACTAAGGAGAACTACACTACAGGGTTTTGTGTGTGTGTGTTGTTTTTTTTTTTAATAGGTAATCTTTAAGAACAAATTACCAGTTTTTTTCTCCTGTTGAGTGGCTGGTGTGTTCAAACTGCCAATCTTCTAGTTGGCTTTTAAATGTTCAATGATTCCATACTGGGGCTCCTTTTAAGGGCTTGTTGTGAAGTGCCATTGAGTTGGTTCCAACTTGTACCAACCCTGTATAGGGTTTCTAAGGAGCAGCTAGTGGGTTTCAACTGCTGACCTTGTGTTTGGCAGTCAGATGCTGATCCTACAGTGCCACACCAGGAATCCTTTGTTGGCTTAGATGAGTTTAAATTGGATCTGTCACTGTTAGAATGTACAGTCCCTAACACAAAGGGTCAAAGTGAATTTAATAGCAGTTTCATGACACCAGCCTTTAAAGGTTAATCTAATAGATAGACATTGTTCAAGAGCATCACAGCTGTGAAAACGGAGAGGGAATGATTCCAGAAAGATGGCTGAGAAATGAATTCAGTTACATATATGAGGTTCTCGCTGAAACGCTTGTGAAGATTGTCCACAAAGGCAGATTCGCTGGTGTATGCATCCAGCAGCACAAAATCCTGCACTCCAACCTTGTCCCGGGCTGTCAGTGCACCTTCCATGTGCAGACGAATGTGCTTCCTCCTCACGTCTTCTTTCTAGGGAAACAGAACATTCCTCAGTGGTTGGTTCATTGTCATTTCTATTGCACATCTAATATGGAAAGAGCAAGGTGCTAGACCCTGGGGTAGAAGGGAGTCAAGATTAAATTATGCTCTCGTTAGAGTTCAACATCTACTTAGGCATGTTGTTAAGTGCCGTCAAGTC